TGGGACTGGTCTGCCACAGAATCCAATGGACGTGATTGGCAGCAGGAGGGTGAGCGAGGGCCGACACAGCCCCAGTTGCCCTTCATCCACCTCGCCTATTTCAACAGACATGGCCCTACTTCCTTGGCTGTCAGCCTCACTGCTGTATGCCCTGTACTGGAGCTAGAGCTGTCACTGCAGCGCAAGATGTGCTGGTTGTGGCAGCTTTGACTCCAAGATGAACATGGGTCGGCAGTGTGGGGAGGCAGTTAGGAAGTTTGGGAAATTTGGTCGTCACACCAGATGACAAAGCTAACATGTTTAATGATTTCTTTGCCTCCGTCTTCCTAAGTAGGGACCAGAACAGCCACCTTGCTGCTGGGCCCCCCTTGGGCCCCGGGGGAGGCACACCTGGGCGAAGGGTTAGTGAGGATTTAGTTAGGGAGCTTCTGGAGGGGCTGGACATTTTCAAGTCAGCCGGTCCGGATGATCTTCACCCAAGAGTACTAAAGGAACTGGCCGAGGTCATTGCAAGTCCCCTGGCAAGGCTTTACGAGCACTCGTGGTGCTCTGGAGAGGTGCTGGAGGACTGGAAGAGGGCCAACGTGGTTCCCATCTTCAAAAAAGGGAGGAAGGAGGACCCGGGAAACTATAGGCCAGTTAGTCTTACCTCGATCCTAGGCAAGCTGTTCAAGAAAATTATTCTGGCACACATCCAGGAGGGGCCAGCAGGGGACTGCATGCTTAGGGGCAACCAACACGGGTTCATCAGTGGCAGGTCCTGTCAGACCAACCTGGTGGCCTTTTACGATCAGATCACCAGATCATTAGATGCAGGGGTAGCAGTGGACATAGTCTTCCTGGACTTCCGGAAGGCTTTCGACACTGTCTCTCACCCCGTTCTCATTAAGAAACTGGGGGGCTGTGGTGTAGACACCCACACAGTCAAATGGGTCGCCAACTGGCTGGAGGGCCGCACCCAGAGGGTGGTAGTGGATGGGTCCTTCTCAACCTGGAAGGACGTGGGCAGTGGGGTTCCGCAGGGCTCAGTCCTCGGGCCCGCACTGTTCAACATCTTCATCAGTGATTTGGACGAGGGGGTAAAAAGCACCCTGTTCAAATTTGCTGATGACACTAAGATGTGGGGGGACGTGGGCACACTAGAAGGAAGCAACAGGCTACAATCGGACCTAGACAGGTTACAAGGGTGGGCGGATGAGAATAGGATGGGTTTCAACACAGACAAGTGCAAGGTGATGCACCTGGGGAGGAACAACCGGCACCATACCTACAGGTTGGGGAACTCCCCTCTTGTCAGCACGGAGGCGGAAAAGGATCTTGGAGTCATCATTGACTCCAAGATGAACATGGGTCGGCAGTGTGGGGAGGCAGTTAGGAAGGCCAACCGCACCTTGTCATGCATCCACAGATGCATCTCGAGCAGGTCCAGGGAGGTGATCCTCCCCCTCTATGCGGCACTGGTCAGGCCGCAGCTGGAGTACTGCGTCCAGTTCTGGGCGCCGCACTTCAAGAGGGATGTGGACAGCATGGAGAGGGTCCAGAGGAGGGCCACTCGCATGATCAGGGGACAGCAGGGCAGGCCCTATGAGGAGAGGCTACGGGACCTGAACCTGTTCAGCCTCCAAAAGAGAAGGCTGAGGGGGGATCTTGTGGCCTGTTATAAACTAGTCAGGGGGGATCAGCAGGCATTGGGGGAGTCACTGTTCCCCCGAGCACCGCCAGGAGTGACCAGGAATAACGGTCACAAGCTGGCAGAGGGTAGGTTTAGGTTAGACATCAGGAGGCGCTATTTCATGGTCAGGGCAGCTAGGGTCTGGAACCAACTTCCAAGAGAGGTGGTGCAGGCTGCTACCCTGGGGGTTTTTAAGATGAGGTTAGACGAACACCTTGCTGGGGTCGTTTGACCCCAGTACTCTTTCCTGCCATGGCAGGGGGTCAGACTAGATGATCTGCTAAGGTCCCTTCCGACTGTAGAAACTATGAAACTATGACTCCAATGTGGGGCATTTGGCACAAGCTGCTACACATGTCTTGGGTCAGAGCCAGAGTTGTTACCATCACTGCTGCTGCATGCCCTGGGCTGGATCCTGCCCTCAAGGAGTCCCATGGTCCAGATCCAGTGTGGTGAGCTTGACACCCCTTTAACAGACAGACAGGCCATCTACCTACAGTACTGAGATGAACTATATCAAAAAAGCTCATCCGAGAATATAAGGTAGTGCCTTTCTTTCTTCCCTCCTGCTTCACAGGAAACTTGCACTGAAATATCATCCTGATAAGAACCCAGATAATCCAGAGGCTGCAGAAAAATTTAAAGAGATCAACAATGCACATGCAATATTGACTGATGCCACAAAACGAAACATATATGACAAGTATGGCTCCTTGGGTCTGTATGTAGCGGAGCAGTTTGGAGAGGAGAATGTGAACACATACTTCGTCCTGTCCAGCTGGTGGGCAAAGGTAAGTGAACTAAAGCTCTGATTCTGCTGCACCTAGTCATTTTTGATGTGACGGCAGCAGAGCTGAATATCATCAATGTACTAAATGGCACAGCACCTTGTGCCTTCTTACAAACTCTCCTACGTGGCCTTGTACGCACACTGAACATGAGTTGTAAAAGCTATGTGGAGGGTATGTGGGAACAGGATGTGCCAGAACTCATAACTCTTTACTGGAGTTATGTTTATACTGCTGCACTCTGCTGTTTCCCTGGGATGAAAATGTGGGATTTTTACCACCTTTGAGGCTGAAGAGTTTAGAAGAAAGTGAGTAATCCAAAATCTGTAAATCACTTGTGCTTTGAGGGAAGGATGATTTTTAAATTGTACATAAATATGTCATGAGTAACTTGAATTACTTAAGAGCTGTGCTGCTGTTTAAAGTATGACACCACAATTAACTGAGCTCTCGCTGACATTATTTACCTTCATTTTACGACTGATTCAGACTCTTCCCCAGTCCCGATGATTCAGCCATAGGCATATATGCACCTCTTCCATCCTCTTATTTCTTTGGAGGATGAAAATAGTTATTACTGTGATATATCAGCTAATTGTCTAACTGAACCCCCCCCCCACACACACACACAAAAAACAACTTCCAGCATAGCTATGCAAAAAGCATTCCATTTTACTACCAGTAGGTGCTGGTATGTACAGCACAGGCCTTGGGTGAGAGTGAGCAAAGTCTATAATCCACAATATAAGTGAAACTCAGATATACTTGGTCTGGGATCCTCAGTAGGTACTTGGTGGCTGGAGCCCCTGATGCCATAGCCAGACCACTGTCTGTAACAGAGCTAGATAAAGTGACCTCAGGTTTGTCTTCATGAGCAGCTGTCACACCATCTGGATTGCAGTATAGATGCTCCTTCAGCTCTTCCTTTTTTGAAGGATGCAGCTCAAATGGCAGGTTGCAGTACCCCAAGTTTTCAGCAGTTTTATTAGGAGGAAATTAGCAACTCTAAGCAAGATGTTCCTAATTTTAAGTTGTTTTGTTCCTTCCCTTTGTATCCTGGCCCCACGCTTTCTCCCAAAAGATCTGTTTAAATAGATGGGCCTCTAGAAAATACTGTTTTTCTGGCTACTTTTTTTTCATGCTAGTGTTCATACTGGGAACAGATGTTAAAGGCTGCTGTCTTAGTAGGGAAATAATGCATTGCATATTCATATTTCTTATTAATTTTGTTTCAGTAATGCTCTCTATGTCCAAAGCAGCCTGCCATCTATTTAATGACTAACCTGTTTTAAACAGCTCTCTTCTGCGGTAATGGGAGGTCTGGGTTAGGTGATGGGAAGCATTCTGTTCAACAAAAAGATGCGACTGATATGTGTGTATCTCTCCCTTCCTTCCCTACAGGCACTGTTTGTGTTCTGTGGGCTCATCACAGGCTGTTACTGCTGTTGCTGTCTGTGTTGCTGCTGTAACTGTTGCTGTGGAAAGTGTAAACCTAAACCTTCTGAAGGCGAAGAACAGGATTTTTATGTCTCCCCAGAAGATTTGGAGGCGCAGTTACAGTCGGACGAAAGGGGTAGGTGGAAAAGTCATAGGGCTGTTTAGGATAGCCAATAACTCTTTAAGTGTTCAACATAGCTTATAAGCCAGTAGTGTATTGAATACAATGTCTAGTTTTAGAGACCACTGAAACCTGTAGTTGGCAGAGAAGAGGAGATATTTGAACGAATTATTGATTTTTCCCATGACAGGGTACATACGTTGCAGGTGTACAGACACTAAAAGGTAGCCATTGTTTAAGGGCTGTATTGAACTGTGTGGGGTGGAGGAAACTGAATCATTAAAATTTGCTCATTGGCAAGGGGAGTTTTTTAGAGTAGCAAAACCAGTTGGATTCTTGTGACCCTTTATCCCAACAGTAGGAAGTTAAGACATGTGGGAAATAGCAACTTTCCCCCGACAAGTAAGTTTAATTCTGTTTACTAATGCAGCATCTGCTCTTTCATTTTAAAATTGTTTCTAGCTGTTATGATTGCAGAATAAAGCCTATAATCCTCCTACTTACACATGAAGTTAAGTATTACACTCCTGAATGAGGGGTAGGCTGGTCAAATCCTGTTTGACTCCTTGAAGCTTCCCATGCCTTTAGATTCCATGTTTCCTGGAATGATGGTGAGGTGGAGTGAAGATGAGCAGTGCTTGCTTTGCAGCTTCCTTATGTAGAATGACGGCAATGCCTGCCTTGCCTCTTCTAGGCCCTGAGAGAGGAACAGAAAGTACCAGGTGGCTGCTTATCCTACAGAGATCAGCCAAAAGTCCTGGTAGCTGTTGACACTGAAAATAAATTACATGTAATTTTTTTGTATGGTTCCATGTGCTGTTCAGCTAAACACACTTCTGAGTGGTCAGGAGTGAATTACGGCTAAAAGTCGTACCTAAACTGCAGAAGTTCATGTGATTTTAGCTCAGGCTGAAGGATAATGAATTAAGGTAATGCTTGAAAATGTGTGTGGAGCTGTGTTGGCAGTAAGTTTGCAGGCAAATCTGATTGCAGACTGGTTGTGAAAGATAATTGGAAACTTTCCCCCCAGTGCGGTAAAACTTTGTCTTTACTTTTCAGAGGCATCAGAAACGCCTATTGTGATACAGCCGGCATCAGCTACAGAGACAACCCAACTCACAGCTGACTCTCACCCCAGCTACCATACTGATGGATTTAACTAAGTTAAGGAAACACTGCAATTAGAGTGGATCAATAAATACATGGCCAACTCAACACTAGAATCATGAACATTAGAAATAGAAAACGGGGAGGGAAAAGTTCTGCCACTGTAAGAAGGCAGCTTCCAGCCTGCCGAGAATATTTTGTAATCCCTTCAGCCTTTTGTCACCTTCAGTGTCGTATCTTGATGATACATGAAGTGCTGTAGCATGCAGTATTTAAAGCAGTTTAGTTATGGTTTCATTTGTTTCCTTTTCATTTTTATAGCATGTATGGAGTTTATGTTAAATGTCTGTGGTGTAATGTATTGAGGAGTTATCACATTCAGAGTATGATGGAGACGTTCTGCATTTTAAGTAGTGGTACCAGCCTCAAATGGGACATTTTTTAAAAAAGAAAACAAGTTAAATCAGTCACACAGAAGCCGCCATGCTTCCATACAACTGAACTATGAAGACCTCAAAGGATTCCTTGTTTTTTTTTAATGTGAGTGCAACAAAAATCTTTAGATCTTTGGCTTTAACCCTTTCCTTCTCTCCCTGCACCTCTCTCTAAGCCAGTTTACGATGCAAAGAACCAAAAAATGCCAAGGCTGCAGGGCAGGAATTGTCTTTAATGCTGGCTTTCAGCCAAAACAAAACTGCCTTGCAGATCCTCCCTCTTGGGTGGTTTTTATTTTTATTCTGCAGACAGTATATTGGTGAAGAGCTCCTCGTGCATACAGAGGTGTTCTCTGATCGCATAGACCCTAAATATAGTTGTTACAAAAGCCAAATATGAATGGAACAATTTTTAGGCATTTTGGGGTTTAAGCAGGTTTCGCTTGAAATAAAAACAAAAACATTCCCCCTGCAATATATAAATTGTAATAAAATATTGCAGCCTTTTACTAATGCTTGAGAATCTTAAAGTGAAACTAAATAGTCCATTTTCACTGCCTGTGTGAATGAAATGTGGGAAGTGGGGAAGGCATTAATGTAGAAAACAAATGAGATTTATAAAATGGTAATAGTCTAAGATGCAATGCATAAAAATGAATGCCCCTATCTGTTTTAAAAATATTAAATTGGCAGTGTCCCTTTAACTCTTTCATGAACTGTTTTGTGGACTGCTTCCAAGGCTATTTAAGAACAAAACCCTTTATTTTGCGTTAGTTTTGTATAATAGTTTGCACATAGACTGTGTTTACTTCAGTGTTTTTCTTTTTCCTCAGGTAATTATTGTGGAAGCTATTGAAAAGTTTCCTGTACTGTTTTGAAACCAAATAATGTTTGAATAGTGTTTTGAAACTATGGTTTACGTTATCATAAATGATCTTTAGGTTTGTTCAGCTGTCACAGAAATGTTTACTCTGTAGCTGGAGTGCTGATATTTTGAGGGTGTAACAGGTCTCGTTTTAGAAAATGCTGAATGGGACATAGGGTAGCAGCTAGTAGATTTACACCTGGGAATGTTTTAGCACTTGGTTACGCTCCCTTTTCTTTTCTTCTCTTAATCCTGCCCCACTGCCTTTTTTCATTTGCCTCTTCTCATTCCTCTCAACCCTCTGGTGAGGCCGTGCAAAATGACCTACAGCCAGTATTCCCTTTGGAGCTCTTTATTGCCACAAAGCAAAGGAGTTTCATTTCTGCATAGTACAAAGCACTTTTTCCCACTGTCCCTTCCAGCCTGTACAAGAAGGAACCCGCCAAATGAGCTAGGATCTCTTGCCATGGCTGGGCAAAGAACGCTACAATTGGGCTAGCCTAGGATGGTTTCTGCGTTCAGGACAGTTGTCCCTTGTGTGACGTCCACATACAGAAAACGTCTCTGGAAATATTTTTCACTCTGACCTTTGTGTACTAAAGACAAAAAGAGGTCACTTCATCTCTGGTTCCAAATCCTGCCCAATATCTTGTTGGAAAAATGTTAACTCTCCATGCTAAATCTGAGGCTGTTCAAAAAGCAGGCTTCTGCTTCTTCATAGCCACTGGCTCATACATACAGTGTGTATGAGTCTGTACAGAGCCAGCGGAAGTGTGCTTTGGAGTATTTGCATCGTGGTGTGGTATCAGAAAAGAATCTGAAATGCACTTAATGAGTACAGCCACTGAAGTAATTTTGCTCTCTGCCGCACTTGATTAAAAGTTGAAAGTCTTTCACTTGTTCATGTCATGGGCAACCTGTGATTTATTGGAAGATGCTGATGCTTTGGTTTCAGTGTTTAGCATTGGAGTAGGGAAAAATATACCTTGCAGCTGAGAGGATCAATCACAGTCTGGTCTTAGGTCCTCTTATAACCAAGGCCTTTATTTAACTTCTTGAAATGGAGAAGTATATTTTTCAGATCAAAACTAGCACTGCAATGACCTTGTGTAAAGTCTACCTGAAACCTGTTCTTATAGCTGTATTCCACATTGGAGTGCATTAGGATTTTACAAGCCAACTCGATTCCCTAGACCCTTCTGGTCAAAGTTGTCTTTTATGGTCTGTACGGGTCAGTGAATGCTTGTAAAAAGTTAACTGTTCCTTTACCAGGCCATGTAAAAGAGCATAGCTGATAGGTGTGGGCTGGTGAAATGATGGAAAGACTATTTTGGCATGGAGTATGCTTCCAAATACTCTTCCTTCTCTATTTCGTGGTCTCCTGATGTAAGGCATTGGTTCCTTTTGAATTGTCACTTATTGTGAGAACCTGCAACTTATTACTTCAGGGAGTTGATCCGAAGAATTTGTTTGGAGATCCTAGACACTATTTCTTAATCACCAGAGCACTTCAGTTGCATCAGTGATGTCCTGAGGAGTTTGCAGCATGGGGATTAAATGCAGGTGAGGTGTCTAGACTTGACTGCAGTCTGTTATAAGCAACTTTTACTTCATTCCTGGTAAACACTGTTGTAGGGAGAAACCTTTCCTACCATCAAATACAAAGGAGTCTTAAAATTGTGAAATTTAACTTGGAAAGCCAAATTCTATAGTTTCATCCCATTGTGACTTTAAAAAAAACAACGAAGTACACTACACTGTTTAAAGAAATCAAACAAATAACCATTTTCTGTAGTTGATTATCCAGTTTAAAATTAGTTTCTTCTTTTAATTATCTGCAAAGACTCAAGTTCAAGTAGTGACGGTTTCCTTTCAACACTTACTGTAGATGGCTGTGGAACCAGTAAATCAGCAGGTTGTACAACAAGATTTGTCGAGCTAGTGGTGATTAATATAAAGGGAACACCAAAACTTTTGAATTTGGGACTTGAGAGGGGAGGGGAGGGACTGACTTTTCAGATTATTTCCAAACTGTAAATGTTTCTAATTAAGTCTGCCTGGGTAGTCTTCCTGAGTGGACATGTTAAATATTTTTCAAGTGACTATTATCTTGGAGTGTCGGCCCTTCCTTTGTTTTAACGGACTTCTCAGTTTGTATAATAAACAGTTACACAGAGCTTCTTTATGTGAAACTTTTTTTTAAATGGAAAACTTGAAGGTTAGCACCACATTTCTTATGAGTTGACATGGGGACTGTTTTGAAACATCCTGAGCTCTAAAACAACTTGCACTTTATAGTTGCAAAATGGCCAAATTAAACGCCAGTGAATACAGATAAGGTTGCGAGGTCACAGTTCCTTGGTTAAAAGTCTTATGTACTGAGGAACTACCAGCACTTTTGAGCTTGAGTTTATGGGACTGCAGTGTCCTCATGAACCCAGAAATGGCTTGGAGGGCCTGGGGGTCTCTAAAGTCTGGGAAATGAGGGGAATTGTCCCTGATTTGTCTGCAAAATGTTTCCTTCTAAGACATTGTCCCTAAGCCTGAACATTATTCTTTGTTCTGTGTATTGTCATAATTAATTAAAAAAGAAAAGGAAAAAAAAGCCCAAGTTGAATCCATGCAAGACAGTTGTTTCTTTTCCAAGTCTCCCAAGGTCTAAGTTTAGGAAGTTTAGTAACTGTCCTAACGGATGTAAGCATAAGGCTTTGGTACCTGTGTAGCGTATTTGAGGGAGCCTAGGGGATTGGAAGGACCACTGATGTCACTCTGAAATATTGTTCAAAATCCTGACTAGCCATAAGATTTGTAACCAAGCAAAAGGAAGGAAAGCTTGCTGCTCCATGGCTGATTGCAGCCAGGCAGCCGTATGGCAAGGTCGCCATAGGTGTAGCTGGTGCTGGATTTCCTGCGCCCATCCTTTCTTCTGATGTGGAATTGCCCAAACCTGGGCTGGTGCAGCGAACAATACAAGTCAAACGCTTCCCTTGAAGTGGGCCAAGGGGCATTGCACCAGTTCTTTAATTCCAGTTGAACTTCATTGGTAACGTATATAGGAAGTTAACTACTTATCTTGTATATAAAGTTGTGTAGGTAAATGTCTTCCTGGCGTCTGTTACGTAGGTTTCTGCTAATTCCATGCAATGATGTTTTGGAGCCATATCATCTTTTTTGTCTTATTTTTAGGTTTGTAACATTTTTAAACTGCTTTAGATATTAGTGCTCATAACGTTCTTTATAATGTGGCACTCTGAAATTTATACGTACGCAGCCTGCAGTACAAATAGAAAAACTGGCCTAGAGGGCATTGGTGTGGTATTAGAAGGAGTTATTACGTATCACAACAGTGCAATGATAGAGGGACTATGCTGCTTAAACCCTGTTGTGCCAGAGTCTGTATAATCTACAGCCATAATCAGGTCAAGGTTGAAAATTGTCCCTGTTCCAGTTAGTGTGGCTACATTGCATAGTGGTGGGACTCGAGCGTGCTTTTATTGAGTAATTGTAGTGTACGCTGGCCATGAGCTGCCCGCTTTCCTTAACTAGTCTGTGCCCCTAGTGTATATCTGGTGCTCTTCACTGTTCTTGATGTTTCCAAACAATTTAGGAAACAAGTTTGTGCCGCAGTTTTCCCTGCTCCGTGCAACAGGATAAAGGCTCAGTTTTTGCAAGGGATTCTTGCTAGGTAAACTGGTTAGGCCGCTTAGCAGTTCCTGTGTCAGGCTAACAGTTCTGGATGCTATTTTGCTTTCATTAATCCTTGAGCCAGAGTACTGAAACCCTAACCCCCCATGCAGATTTTAATAGCGTAATGTCCGTATCAACATAACGTGCTTGAAATACTGCTGCTTCCTGCTGTGGTGGGAATCATCTAGTTTGTAGTGAACCATTGCTCCAAAAACCGCTTATAAACCTTGAAAGAAGTACCTTTGATAATTTGGAAAGTTTAATTTTGTTGACTATTCTGGGAAGGGAAAATGGCAGGAAAAACTTCCCAGTGTTCAAGGCCTATGAGAATGGATTGCTTTACATGCTGCATTTGGGGATTTTTAAATGCTCCCTGAGTCTCTCCAAGAATGAAGTCCCTGATTCATTTCAAGAAGGTGCTTTCTTTACAAGGTAAAGCTATTAGGGCAGCTCTGTCTTGTCTGCACAGGCCAAACTCTGTAATTTTGCAAGTTTTTTGAAAATGAAATGCCATTGTTACCTGCATAATTATATATTTTTCAATGGGGAAATGCTGGAGATTGATTGTTTGTTTAGAGAGACTTTACCCGAAGAGTCGCATTCTCAGCAGTGAATGGCTCTTTCCCACTCCTTTTTTCCCCACAACCAGCAATGTGAATGTGTCCGCGTAGTTTGTGGATGCTTGCTTAGCGTACTTTTTTATGTACAGCAGTGGCTTCCAAAAGACTTGATGTCCTATTGAACTCTGATCAGCTCCCTGTCCCATAAGAGACGGGGTGGAGCCAGTTTGAACTTCTACACTTTTTTTCTTAAAATGAAGGAGAGAAAAGCCAACTGTAGCAAGGGGGGCAAGGGCCATTCCTGGAACCATTTCTATTTGTAGGAGCCAGTATGTAGGGAGATCTTCAATGCTATCAATTTACTAATTGTTAGAGGTATAATGGAATACTTCCTTCCTTCCTTCCCCCGTACTGGTTTTGACTACATCGTACCCCATGCAGGGGGGGACTTGGTGTAGTTCATAAAGCAAGGTGCAAAGCCTTATGTTCGGGATTGCAATAGTGTATGTGTGCGTGCATGTGCGTGTGCATATGTATATATTTATACAACAGGTATGCACCTAGTACTAGCTGCTGGGTTGTTTTTGGTGGTCAAACATGACATTCGGCCCCTGCACTACTTCTCTGAGCTCTCAGCCAGACAAACCAAAGGAGTTGGTTGTGTGTGCCCAGAACTGCAACTTTTGCCTTTCAGCTGCAGGAAAAAAGAACTAGGTCTGTTGGTGAGTGACAGAGGAAGAAACAATGGAGGGAAGCCTGTTGTATAAATAGATAGGTATTATGTTTGAGTAGGAGAGCCACGCCACTTGCAAGGCAAAAAAAAAAGAAATCCCCTCCATTCATGGGGTTCCCAAAGTCTTCCCTCCTTGCTAGAAGGATTAGATCTTGACTAACGAGGTGCCTTTGCACTGTCTGGGCCAGTTACCCATTTTGGATATCTTACAGCCTGAATTCCGACGGGTGGCATGTGACTGGTGGCTTATGAAGACACAAGGATTGTGGCCCCCAAATTACTTCTAGTCAGATTGGCTAGAGAAGGCCAGCTGGCCCTGCTGGGGCCGTGCGTTCCAGAAGCTGTTGCCTACCCAACACTAAGCCCATGTGTAGAGCACACACGGTCCTTCTCTTTGCTAATGGCAATCAGCACAAACTTGGAGGCCTATAGGGGTCAAAGAGAGGCTCTTTCTTATTATTATTTCAATGTTTGAGACTTATTTGTGTCTGTTGCTGTAGGTGAACTTTGAAATTTGCCAAGCTCCAAACACTTGAAGCTTCCTTGTTTGGTAGATGTGTGCCACTCAAGCTGGTTGCTGTCGTTGCATTCATTCCACCACAGCCCCCTTCCTCTCCCACTTTTTGGGTTGGCGGTGGGGTATTTGGTTTGTGTTATCACAGCCATCCAAGGTGGTTTGTATTTGTTTTGCATGTGAGCAAGGCCCTGAGATCAGGAGTTCACTATGGGTGTTGTGATGAGGGCCTCTGAAGCCTGTGGGAGCTGAAGTTGGAATGAGAATGCGTTTCGCATTTGCACTGTTTCATTTCTGGTTGGGCAGGGGGAAAGCCCTTGTTTTCAAACAAAGTTAGCTGTTGTAAAAACAATCAAAGTATAAATGCATCTGAAGAGCAATTTATATATAGACATATATATATTTTGTTATGTTACAAAAGGACCATACTTTGAATTGTATGTAAGTAGATGTGGCTGTCTGAACTTTGTGGATTGTAACACTCGATACTACTGAGCTCCTGTACATACATGTGGTTAAAGCAGAAGGAATTATTTTATGTTTTAGCATGGTAATTTGTGTACTGTATGTCTGAATATAAACTAAAATAAAGATTGCTAAATTATCTGAAACCACTGTTGTAAAATAAATGTTTTCAATGCAGATGTACCTGTTTGAGCCTGCTTTTCCTTTAAAACAGCTGTATTCGGACATTCACTTCTTGCTTTGACATTTGAGGATAGAAAAATATCTAGGGCCTGAAAACAGTTTGACATTCACAGACTCTTCCCAACAGGTTACACTGAGGTACCTACTTATTGCAATTGCTGCTTTTTCTTTTATACTCAGGTGCACATGCTGGTTCACAAGTGAAAGGAGCCACCTGTTAGTGTAATATTCTATGAGCACTTGCTCACACCATGAAGATCTCCTCCCTGTGCTTGGCTGACCTTACTGAGAAGGGACTGGGGAAGCAGGTAAGCTTCAGCTTTGAGCAGAGGTGAAGGGGGAATCTGGCATTCAGACTCACTAATGGTTGCAGAGGCTTTAGCTTTCATAAAACACAAGAACACTTATTTTGAAGTGTTTCTGTTTTTGGGAGGCTCAGAGATAAGGTTGTAGCCGTGTTGGTCTAAAAGTACAAGCAGTCAGTGTGGTAGAGGTGATATCTTTTATTAAACCAACTAGATGGTTTCAAACAAAATGTTTCTTTATTTGCAAGCTTTCGGGCATACACACCCTTCCTCAGGCCTAGGAGAGTGCAAAGATTGTAAAATTTCTCCCAGGTAGAAATGAAAATTCATATTGTACAGGAGAAAAATTGGAGCAGTCTATTTACCTCAAAGGTGTCTGATAGCAAGCAGGATGCCGAATTATGCTTCGTTCTTGTTAAGATGGTTTCCTATGTGAGAATTGGTGATGGAAGGGTTAGCTTGGGCACTTGTGTAATATGATGCATCTTAACAAGAACGAAGCATAATTCAGCATCCTGCTAGCTGTCAGACACCTTTGAGGTAAATAGACTGCTCCAACTCTTCTCCTGTTTAATATGAATTTTCATTTCTACCTGGGAGAAATTTTACAATCTTTGTACTCTCCTGTGCCTGAGGAAGGGCACGTGTACCCAAAAGCTTGCAAACAAAATTTTTGATTTTTTTTTAACTGTCTGGTTGGTCTAATAAAAGATATCGCCTCTACTACACTCACTGCTTGGGCTCAGATAGGCATTATAATCAGAAGGGAACATTTATGGGAGATGACCCTGGTAATCCCAGGAAGGCCACATGACCTCTTCCTGTCTTGGGCACTTTGGCTCCTGCTGCCATTGCATTGGCATCTTAGTCTTTACATGCTGCAGGAATATGTACATTACAGCGAGGTCAGAATAGCTGTTATCCTCTTTCTGCCACTGGAGATGGAGGCATTGAAGCCCCTGTGACTTTCCAAGGTCCAGGGGAGTCTGGCCTAACAGGGCCTGAAGGTAGATCTCCTAGCTTGTAACCTAGGGCCCTTAACTGCTGGACTGTCCTCCTTGCTGCGCATGCTCCTGCCGTTGAAATCATTAACAAGTCTAGTGCAAGATTTATCTTGCCCTTCAAGGCTTTTGGTCCTTTGGGGAAGAAGCCATTAAGTAACCTTTCCCCTAACTCAGTCAAGCGGCAGAGCTTTCTCTTTACTGGCAGCAGCCCCCAGTTCCTCAAACAATTGTGGGTTTATATTGCAGCATCATCAAAGGTCACAGACAGTGCAAGACCCTGTTAAACTAGATGCTGTGTAAATGCACCCCTCCCCTCCTTCAGCATGCTCCCTCGCTGCCTGAAGGGTGTGGGTCCCAGCTGTGGAGGATCTAATTTAAAAACACTAGTGTCCCTCAGCACTTAAACACACAGGCTGTGCTGGATGACACACCCAGGGAGGGCTGTGAGCTCAAGCTGAGTGATCCTCCTTTCCCTCCAGAGTCACAGGATCTGTAACAGTAACATGAGAGAGAGAGGGCTTCTGCTATCAAATATCTGGAGTCTTACCAAGGGGCTGAACTAGGCCTCTGGAGACCACAAGCCAGCAGCTGCATCCAGCATGTGACTCGTGACATCCTGCTTCTCTCCGCCATCTCCCGATGCCTTCCCTCGGCCTTGCAGTAGGTGACCAAGGGAGAACCAGACAGCAGTGCTCCCTTGTTCTGTTGCTCAAGTGCTGCCGGGTCGGGGTGGGGTGGGGTGGACCGGCTTCCTTATGCCTCTCCCAATGGAATACAAATCCTACCCGAGAGACCACCACACCATGGACAGCCTGGAGAGGCAGCTCATCTGTCCCATTTGCTTGGAGGTGTTCACCAAGCCGGTGGTGATTCTACCCTGCCAACACAACCTGTGCCGGAAGTGTGCCAATGACATCTTTCAGGTGAGTGGCAGTATCTCTCCTGTTATCCTGGTAAGAAATGTTTAAAGCTTTTCATGATCAGACCAATGGATCCCGAGGACTCTGCCCTTGCTGTGTCGGGAGGGAGCTCCGGCTGGTTTGGAGCACAGCTCTGTGGATTGAGCAGGACAAGGGACTGCCCTAGAAGGTGCTCTGGCCTCTGCTAACCCCCCATGTTCAAGAGTCTGAAAAGGAGATTAATTCCCCCATATGCCTGTCCTGCTAGTGCAGATGTTGGGGCAACATTGGCTCCCACTGTCCAATGGGATCTCCTAGGCATTAATGGATCTGTCTTCTCAGCTCCTGTAAGGGACAGGAGGATCCTCTTTTCTTCCCTGTCTCTCCCATTTCTCCATTCTAAAACAGGTTACCTCTGCCCCCACCATCAAGGCTCAGGCAGTGCAAGCTGGAAGTTAGGACTTGGTGGGCACAGCTACTGCATCTTGCTATCCTCTTGTTAAAGGGTTGCTATACTTTTAGAGGCACAGAGACATGAAGTGCTCTCTCTGGGAAGGGGACTTGGCGAGGGAGGTAACAAAGGGGCCATCTCACCAGAAGTGGGACGACTACCTCTGCAGCTGGAGGTGCAAGGACTCCCACTTCCTGGGGCTGTGGCACGGTTCGTGCTGAAGGAGCCTCTAAAATGTGGCTAAAAGCGTATTCCCAAATAAGAAATGCTTTTTGAAGCAAGAAGGCCTGGGACCCTTGGTGCACAAGTGGAGGAGATGTAGCTAGATATTAAGGGCAGTGGTGATATGGGCATTATAAGAGAGGATTCACAGGTGTTGATGGCACAGCTTAGTTTGATATCTGGGTTAGTGGAAATCTGGGCTTGTATAACAACCTGTGGCCCTTTGCATTGAAGCCTGGGACATGGGGGCCTGGAGATGTAATGTGCCCAAGGCTGTGCTGGGAGTAGGTTTCAGAGCCAAGGTTGGAATTTAGGTGCTCTCCATCCTATGGGTGGCCTTTGAGGCTGATCCCACTGATGTGGAGGGGGAGATTCTTGGTTTGACTGGGGTGAACTGGGGAGAGTGAAGCATGATGCACTAGGATTTCAAGAGGGGGCTTTTCAGGTGCAGCCGTGCCAGGGCTGTCTCCTTGAGTCTTCTGCAGACAGCTCTGCATAGTGGAGAGCTGAGGCATGTTCTTATTCCAGCCACTCTCCTGTCCTGGGGGACCTCCATCACCTGCCCTTGAGCTATAAATTGCCTTGCCTTTATGCTTAGCTTCTGCCCTGGGAACTCGTGTTTAGAGCTCCCTTTAAAAGCCTCTCCCTGTCCCTGCTACCTTCCTGCAAGGCTAGGTTCCTGCTTTTCAGGGCACCTTTTAGGTCGCTTAAGGCCCAAGCCAGCCTGTGTCCAGCTAAGCCCCCTCCCCCTGCAGAGCACTGATGGAGATATCTCACCTTTTAGTCTCGTGGGACAACCCTGGGGTCGGCAGGCAGGTTTCGCTGCCCGTCCTGTCGCCATGAAGTGGTCCTGGACCGACACGGTGTCTACGGCCTGCAGAGGAACCTGCTCGTTGAGAATATCATTGACATTTACAAACAGGAGTCGGCCAGATGCCCTAACAGGTTGGTTCCCCCAGCATGGAAAGGATCCCTTGCTATGGTGCTGGCTGCAGTCAGCAAGGATGTGTATCCATGAAGGCAGTATTTAGCTGCTAGTGGTCTCTGTGTGCTTTGCAGAGCTCCAGCGAGGCACGATCTCTACACAGCTGCTTGCTTGTCTGCATTTGTAGCTCTGTTCTTTAGCAAAGGTGTCTGATCTCTCCAAGCTTGACCCCGCAGACCCTGACAGGTGCTGCTCTGGCCCCATGTTGATGCAGGTAGGGCTCCAGAATGAATGTGCTTAGTTTATAAATCCATCAGGCCAGCTCTCCCCTTGAAAGCTGACAGAGCTGGGCTCTTTCCTTGTCAGGCGTCACTTGGTGTCCACAGGAGTCTCCAGAGCCCCCTGGCCGTCTGTGGGCTTGCACGTGAGAGGCTGGAAGTCACTGAGTGATGCTCATAAGGAGAAGCAAATCTAGGTCCCTTTCTCTCAGCCGTGCTGTCTCCCCCCGCCAAAACCCACAAAGAGAAGGGGAAACTTATTCTTGGGCCTTGAGGCAATGGATCTCGCCCAGAGCCTGTGGATGGCCTGTACTGCTTGAGCAAGAAAGGGTCATTTACACACGTGCTCTGTTGCTGAGGCTGCATGGACCTGTGGTTCGAGAAGGTCCTTGCCCCAAAAAGCTTACAGCACAAGCCGGCTGGTGAGGGGCTGGGAGCAGGGGTTCGGGGACCAGCCCTGGCTCACATGGTAGTCACTGCAATGGTGAGAGTGGAGCCCAAGTCTCTGGGCTTCCTGCCTGCTGGACTTTACTGCCTCCACTGCTGTTGTGGAGTAAGAGCATGGGCAGCCTCTTGGGAGGTGCATGTAG